CCATTTGACTGCTCTCGGGTTTTATAGGTAGAAAGGTAGAAGCCTGGGGATGCTAGTGTTAACAGATAGTATCTCCGGAAGTTGTGGGGGAAGCATTCACACACAAAGACTCTAGAGTGGGGGGAAGAGTCTTTTGGTTTCAACTACTGTAAGAAGTAGCAAGGGAGTGTGAACTTTCTTTTTGGGGAGCCTATTATTCCTGTAGGAAGTATTTAACCCAGGACTGCTCTGGGTTCAGGAGAGACTGCTGATCATTTGCCCTGTGCGATGGCTGCTCCCACCAAGCTTGGGTTTTTGTTTTTTTTTGGTTAAGGGATGTTAGCTGCCGCTCACCGTTTGTCTGCAGGCTTTATTAAATAAAAACTTCCAACACTGATGTCACAACATACGACTTATTTTGACAATTTATTGAAGTGAGAAGGAGTAATGGGAGGAGAATAATTGCATTTTTGTTCAGCGGTGTTTGTAAATTAAGAATTTTCCCAACTACATGTGCTGCTAGCCTGTGACCTTCTTTTTATGTGCACAGAGCCCAGAGGAGTCTGTGGAAACATCCAGAATTGAGGCAGTGCAAGGAGCTAGGGATGGTATGTCTTCAGATAAAGTAGTGTATTATCCATCTATTATGTACATTACATCTAATATTCTGATCCAACAACCGCACTTTTTGTGTGTTTTAGAGGCCTCTTACTTTTGCTGCATCTGTCATGCTCATTTCAACGACAAGAGGAAGAACTCTATGAAAAATGGTGCGAGTGGTGTCAGTGTAGCGCATGTCAGCTGTGGTCACATATGGCATGTGGTTTTAAAAAGAACATGTGTATTCATTACCAGCATTAGACACCTTCAGCTGCACTTGTAATTATGAAGACTCACAGTTGTCTAGCAGCTCTAATTTGCTTTAAGAAAATGTACTGCCAGGATGTGACTTTCCTAAATGTCTTCTCAAACTGTTGCTACTTTGTTCTAAGTAGTTCTTAATTATGAAAGATATAACATTCATTACAATGGGAAGTAAAATCTTGTCTGCACAACACACAAACACCCTCTGTCCTTTCATTCTGTGTAAAAACGTGTTGAGAAGATATATAAAATGTACCATGAAAGGATACAAGTGTGAATTGTTCTAATAAAATGAGACAGTTTTGTAAGTGGATTACAGTTTGCAGTTCATTTAAACCTAGTGCATATGCGTGTTGCTAGGACTGATCAGAAGCAAATTTCATTTCAAATGACCACCCAACAGAAGCCTTGATAAAAGTGTGGTTTTGTGCAAACTGTGCAAAAAGGAGTTGGCATACCATCGAAGCACTTCAACCTTACGGTACCATCTAAAGCAAAACATGTTGCAGCGAACACAGAAACTGTGGGAGCGTTTAGCATTAGCAGTCCCAGTTCGAGTACCAATAAAAGGTGTTGGCAGCCCAAACTTGATTAAATATGGATTGCTCTGACTGTAGACCACTATTAGTGGTAGAAGACAGGGGTTAAAAAACGTGCTAGGTGATCAAACTTTCCAACTGCTGTGCCGAAAGACTATTTCAAGTAAAATCAACAGGAGGGCAGGGGTGCGCCTCTGCCTGCATCTGTGAGTATTGCTTTCCCACTCAGTGTTGCCAACTTAGCGACTTTGTCGCTATATTTAGCGAGTTTTCAGACCCCTTAGCGACTTTTTCTCTAAAAAAAGTTGCTAAAAAAAGACGTGAAAGCGCGTATCGTTTTTTCTCTCAACAAGCAGAGGGTGCTGTAACGCAGGCAGTTCTTCTTTTACTCTTTTACTCTTATGCTGTTTTGTGGATCACAAGGTTTAAAACTAGTTATAAACACACACACACAAAGTAACTCCACCAGAGTGCCTATTTTGGGTCACTTTTGCCGGTCCAAGCCCGGGTAAAGGAGCAGGTTTGGAATTGTGACATTAAAAAAAACAATAATTGCTAAAAGAAATTTAATTTGTAGTTCTAAATAAACTCTAAATGCATTTAGGACGTTTTTTACTCACTTTATGTCTCTTCCACGATGTTATTTCTCTCTCCAACAACTTAGGTTACAATTAGATTAGCATGACAAATTAGGCGATGACGTCATTTAGCGACTTCTAGCGACTTTTAGGACAACCAATAGCGATCTTCCTTACTGAGGAGTTGGCAACACTGTTCCCACTGTTGTGCGCAGTGTTGCCAACTCCTCAGACGTCATCGGCTAATTTGCGATTCATTTGCAGTTTGGACGCACAGGTGTGAACATCTCCTACCCTGATAGCAGTTCTTACCATACAGTTACAACTGCCCAGAGCTTCTCATCTGGCTGAAGTGTAGTGCCTGCCCACAGCTGCCTCTTTAGCCCGCTAAGTTGGCTCAGCTACTTACTGGATCCAACTTCCTTTTACATTCAGAGCGTCCTCTGCAATGGCCTTCTTCCCTTCCCTATGTTCCCTTCTGCAGAAAAGTGATAAAATACCATCACTCCACGCACTGTAGTACGCAGAAATGATTCCCGACACTGGACTCGAACTATCATCCCTGCGATGGACCTGAACAGGTAAATAAAACTATTTTTAACTTATTTTTACTGTTTCTTCAAAAAGCTCTATAGTTGACAGTTAATATGTGTAGATCTATAATGACTTTCCTGAATTGTCTACTACGGGTTTGTGACTGAGCTTCTTGGAGGTGAGACATATGTCTCATGTTCAGTGGTTTTACCTGCTTCTAACACCTGCATCACCCCACGGAGATCTCTGATGATGACTCAAACTACATGGTAAAATTTAATACTGCCTTCACAAAGGACCAATCTCACCGTGTAGCTATACTCAACCATCAATGGCTCAAGATAGCTACTGTGCTTGACCCAAGAGGTTTGGACCGGCCTTGAGGCCCTGCTGCAGGAACAGTGTAGATACAAAGGAGCCAGCAAAGACAAAGAACCTTCTCCTCTTTTGATTGTCATCAGATTCTGATTCAAATGGACAGTAAATAAGAATGGAGATATTGTGAGTCCAATAGGTTTGTTATTTTTTGCACTAAAATTAGAATTAGAATTAGAATTAGAATTCAACTTTATTGTCATTGCACATGCACAGGTACAGGGCAACGAAATGCAGTTTGCATCCATCCAGAAGTGCTTAAGTGATATAGATATATTACAATATATATTAGCAATAATATAGATATGTGAGTATATTACAGAAATGAGTCTATTAAGGTATGTTATAATGTACACGGTATGAAGTATGTTGTGAATATTCTATAACTATAAGTATGTACAGGCTGTAGTGAGTACAAGCTATGTACAGGATATGAACAGGATATAAATATGAAAAACTATACAGAATATGAAATAAATAACTTTACAGAATCTGGGATATACAGCTATACAGAAATGGGAACTATGCAAGTTGTAAACAGTTGTAGGATTAAAGATTATCGAATGTACAGAATGATTATTTACACAGAGCTATACAGTAGTGCAGGTAAGATAAGTGAGATATGTGGATAGTTTCTACAGAGGCTATATAAAGTGCTAGTGGTTGTGAGTGGTGGTTCAGTCCATATTATTATTGTGTGTTTGAGGGTACAGTTGTCCATTGTGGGTGTGTGTGTGTTCAGTTCATGTGTTAACGTGGGTCAGATGTCAGGAGGCAGAGTTCAGGAGTCTGACGGCTGTGGGGAAGAAGCTGGTGGTCTTAGTCCGGAGGCTCCTGTGGCGCCTCCCAGAGGGCAGGAGGGTGAAGAGTCCATGTGATGGGTGACTGGGGTCTTTGATGATTTTCCCAGCCCTTTTCAGACACCGCTTCCTGTAGATGTCTTTTATGGCAGGAAGTGGTGCTCCGGCGATGCGCTGGGCAGTTTTCACGACCCTCTGCAACAGTTTGATTATGTTCGATAATCAAACTGTTTTAGCCTAATGTACAAAATAATTTTGGCTAAGGTCACTCAGAGTTTAAAGGTGAAGCTGGTCAAATAACCCGTTACATTTCTGCCTTATTTTTTTAGGAAGAAAATTGTATTATTATTACAAAACCATTTTCAAAATGTACAGGTGGAGAAACTGAGATCTGGTGACGGCCTTAACAGTCACCAGATCTTCAGTATTTTCATGAGCCCTTCCGGTCCTTGTCTTCAGTTTCCTGTTCTTAGCTTACAGGAGGAGCATCGCAGCGACAACAGGTGTAGCAGAGTGGCTCCAGCAGAGTCCACAGGCAGGATTTTTAGCGCATGTTCTTATGAAGCTGAATATGCAATGGATAACAGAAAAATATCTTTTACTTAATTCCACCATAAGATATATTAAAAAAAAAAAAGATTTTCTGCCAATTGTCAGTTATCAAATCTGTATCTGATCTCTTCTCACACTTTAACAAGGTTAAAGTTTTGTTGGCATCAATTTCCCAAAAATTAACTTCTATTGTCCGACACTACACCATTTTGTGAAGCACTTTGTGATTTTTATCTGTGAAAAGTGCTAAATAAGTTAATTTTACTTAACTACCACATAGAGAAAAAGATATTCACTTTTAACTTCAATGTTTAAGTTTAACTTTTGTTCTTTTTTTCTCTTTTCATCTAAAGCACCAAGTTCTTACTTCTGTGTTCTCCATGGTCTCTTTTCTTTGACTCTTCCTGCATAGTTACCAGAAATAAACTCTTTTATTGGCACTTTATTCACACACTGACATCACATTGTCAGCTATATGGTTGATTATTTTAAAATGCAGCAACAAACAACAAATGGTGAAAACATCTGTACACAAATGTGTCCTTCAGCACTACAGATGAAATGTAAACACAAAATAAAAACTATGAAGGACAGAGAGTTTTTATATGATGATGATTATATTTAACAGGACCTAAATATAAAATTACAGAAAGAACCACTATTTATGGAAAATTTATACACACTTGTTATCTTGTGAAAAAAAATGTGGAATGAATGAAAAGGAAAGGATAAACTCTAATCCTTATTTCCACACCTACACGGATATGTGACAAATGTACAGCAGGTGAAAGGTGACACTAGGTGTTGGAGCAAGGACTCGTTTCAATCATTAAAACAGAGTTATCTGGAGATTCCACCTTTTCTGGGACAGCAGGGCCTTCCAATATTGTTTTTTTCTTCCAAGTGAACCAGATCCAAATCCCACTTAATGACAGAATTACCACAGCGGCTTTCAAACCAAATATGAACCAGGAAGTACCTGTGTTAGACAGAAAAATGTTTATGACAAGTTAGAGCTGTGAGAGAAGAGTCACAGTAGAGTTTTCACTCATGTACCATAGTTTATAGAAAGGGGAAAAAATACGTGAATGCATCCCCTTCATCAGAGTTCATTTTTATTCATTTATATACCATGTGTCATCACTGATGGCAGTTTGATTGAAGAGGCTTATTTGACATGTTAGTCTCCTTACCCACTGCAGTTGGTGTGACTGGTGTAGGTTCAGTTGTTGGTTCAATACACAGGCTGTTACTGTCTGCATGCACCCACCCTAATATCTGTGTCCCATTGATTGAGGTACAGTTAATGAAGCCTGTGAGCAAAAAACAGATCATTCATGAAAGACCTTCAAAAGTGAATTAGTCGTTATTATCGACTTTTATTCAAAATGTTGTCACTCACTACAGGTCTTCTGTTCTTTGGAGACACTATTGACATGATTTCTCACTGAGCAGACCAGATGTCCTGAGACTTGCTGTTTCAGAGTGATGTTGTTAGTCTCATTATTTCCAGAAAGGAGCTCAGCATCTGTCAGTGTGCGTCCATCCAGAGCCCAGCTATACTGAGGACTGTCCCCTCCTTCAGAGGAGCAGGACACCCTCATCTCTTCCTGGGACAGACACTCAGAGACCAGCAGGACAGAGGACACAGGAGCTGAGAGAAACAAATACAGATGACTTTTGGTACTATAACAAGATGCACTTTCATGCACTATGCTTCCTTCTGTGTAACTTGGTCATGGTCTGAAACTTGGTAGCTGATTTTCCATAGTTCCTAAAATCTACTACTTTGCAACACTATCAGTTGGTTATGGAATATCTAGGAGGGAAGAAATATCTCAAAATAACTTGCTGAAAAGGTAGCATCCTGTTACAGTAACATACAGAATTTCAGTGAGCTCTTTACAATTATTCATTAATTCACAAATGTTTGTAGAGGAAGACTGCATGGCTAGCTGCTTGGTTTTCATACATCTGTGCCAGTGGAACTATAAACATCAGAATTCAAAGATTAAGAGATGTGGCCCAATACTTTAGTGAATGTAGTGTGCATCATGTAGATTATCATTATTTATGGTTTGCTAATTCAAAACAGGGGATGCACAAAGTGTACTTATTTGAAATTCTGTGCTGTATGTTATAAAGATTACCAAAACAATATTGCATTTACATGAATTAAAGGCTGCATTTCCCAACATTTACCTTGAATGAACAACTGTAAAGTCCGCACGCTTGATGATGCTCCATCTGAACCAAAGATTTTAAGGGTATATTTACCACTGTCTGTCCTGCTCAGGTTATTGATCCTAAATGTTCGATTACTGGGGAAAAAGCTAGATCTATGTGCCATGGTATTAGAAGTAACCTTATTATTTATCCAATTTAGTATTCTTGATGAATTCTTGAACAGTTGGTATCTAGGTATTTCTGAGGTGCTGTCCATGAGCTGGATGTCCACAGTTCCTCCCAAAGCTCCATAACACTGAGCTCCATCCTGTCTGCCATCACAGTAAGTTTCCACACCTGCAAAATTTGAAACATTAAAAAGAAAAACATTTGTGATTCATTAGTTTCTACCTAATAAATTACAACAACAATTTGATTAACATTGTCAGCAATCCAAAATTTACTGATGCGAGGACTTCTACTTGTTAAAAATATTTTTAGTATTACCATGTTTAAACCTAATGCCTAATTATGTTTTGGATAACCCAGTGTTTTGATTGAATGGTATCAAAGTATTTGAAGTAGCACTACTGCCATAAATCTGTCAGCTCTTAATATCTAACTCAGAGTAGGTAGTAGTTTTGACAATTGTAGGTAATAGAGCCTCAAGAACAAACATACTGCATCCATAATCCCAAAGTTATCACACGAATCTGCCCAACATTTACTAATATATTAATAATTAAGAAATACAGGTAGACACATTCTCCACATTTTAGCCGAGTGCAAAAACTAAAGTATTTTCATGTAACCAAAATAAAATAAATGTCAAACAGAAAACAGGAAGCAATATTTCAGAAAAAAGAATCTGCACACAAACAGGACAGAGATGTTCATTTCTGAAGGTGGCATTAAAAATGATAAAGTAATGCAACCTATACATTCTTCAGCATATCTGTAGTGACTGCATGACTTAAATAACTTAAGATGTGGATTCATAGTTACAGCCAAGCAAAAAGTTGAGACAGATTCTTCAAAATCAGGCAGTTTATCACAGTAACAAATAAGCTTGACGTCTCTGATAAGGATGGAAAGAATAAAGTCCTTTAAAAAGTCAGTTTAAAACTCACTTAAACACACTGCAACAAGGCTCCCAAGGTGCATAGTGGGCTAAGAATTTACCACTGCTACTAAAACTGGTAAAAAGACAAAAAAAAGAACTAAAGCTCTGCTCAAATGTCATGTACTGCAGATGTAGCCAATAGATTCTAACATTTAATTAAATAAAATAAATCAAAGTGCACATATTGTAACTTTGGGTAAGTATTTGTGCAGCTTTAACATCTCTGATGACGATGTCAGATATTTTGTACAGGTTAAAAAGGTATTAAATGATAAGTGTCACATGTAAAAAGAATATCTCACCATGAGACACTCCCAGTAGGATCACCATCAATCCCAGCACAGCTTCCATGTCTCCTCAATGTTCAGTGTGTGTTGACACAGTCGGCAGCCGTCAGAGTACTTTATTAAATAATATGCACATTTGTCCAACAGGTAACAGTCAGAAATGGCTCCTGCTACTGATCAGCCTCGTTTGAAATGCTGTTCTCATTCTGTGTGTGGAAATTTGAAAAAGGAAGTACAACTAGCATATTCATTACTTTGCAGAAATAAAAGGAACCTCACAGATCTTCCACAGACTTTGTTTAATTATTACTCACACTGTCACTGGACTATTTTTAGATCTGTAACAAACTAACACTATCCTGCCCATCACTCAGTGTCTACAACATTCATGCAGTTTAATGCAATTCAACAGCAGCCCCATTTATATTCCACCTTAAGTCCATATTTTGTTGCTGATACAAAGTACCTTGTATACACATCCATGAAGAAAAAAGAAACACTTTTAAAACATTATAAAATGTACACTCTGCCCATATGGAAAACATATATATAAATCTTATAAAGTTTGTATCTGTCTTGTGTGAAACTTGTATGAAAAGCATACAAGAGTGAAAAAAAAATAAGATCCCTAGAAAAAATATATAAATGAAACTTGTATGTTTTGGATACTTACTAAAACAATATATGAAAGTGGCCACTTTCATGAGTAAATCATATAAGCCTTATATGATTCACTATATGAAGTAGGCCACATCTGATGCAAGTCTTTTATAAGTTTTTTCTATTTCTTTTCTATACGGGTGACTTTAGGGATTGTGGTATTTAGGCTAATTGGTGGTTTGAGTGGTTGTTTTGACCAATGCTCATTCAAACCAGTACAAGTTCTGAAAAGTGACACTATTATTCAAAAGTATGTTTTAAATACTGCATTCTCAATAATCCAGATATAAACATTTAAGAAAATTGTCTTAATCTGCACAAAGCATTTTCAGTGAGCGAAACATTTTGTTGCTCATCTAAGTGTTCATCTGAATCATAGGCCTGCTCAGATTGTCTGCCTGCGCAGGCTACTGATCTTAAATGTGAATCCCAACCTCAAAGGACAGTGTGTGAATACTTTGACGAAAAGCATTGTTATAATCATCTTATTATTCTTTGAAATGAGTAAAATAGTGAAAAGGTGTTTCTTTCTTTTTGTGATTGGTTTCATTTTGTGTTTGTTGGCCAAAGAAGACTGTTCAGTTTCAATTTGTTTAATACTGTGAAAGTAGAGCCTCAGTGAACCAAAAACTTTTTATGGGCATGCTGTGACTGCAGCATTGTGTTAATACTTTGACGAAAGCCATTGGTATACTCATCTTATTATTCTTTGAAATTCGTAAAATAAAAGTACTCTGCATATTTGTTTCTTTCTTTTTTGCTTTGTTTCATTTTTTGTTTGATTTTTTTTATTTCTGTAACTGCAGAGCTTCAGTGAAATAACAGGGCAAATCATCACACCTATGATGTCAGACGAAGTCGTTATTAAAATTATAAAATTATTTAAATCTAAAACTCTTGGGTTTGAAAGCTAGCTCACTAAAACTAAAAACAACTAGCTGTTTCTCTTCATCATCATTATTTTTTTCCACAAGGAGGAACCTGAATTAACATGATCAATAATTAACTATTTAAAATAGGATTACACTACTGATGATTATGAGCATGACAGTATGACAGAGTTTTATAGGAGCTCCCGCGTTCTGGCAACCTTCAGATAAACTACTCTAGTCTAACTACTGAAAGCAGCTGTCATTAGTGATCAGTTTCAGATAAGAATGTGTGAACTCAGAAAGAACGGAAGTGTTTAGAATGGAACTCAAGAGAGAGAAAAGACAGAAGTTGTCTTTCAGTTTAGAGATACTAATACTTTGAAACCAAATGTGTAATTTTCTTGTTCAGCTAATCATGCAGTTTCACTGACATTGTAATATTTAAAATTTAAAATAAATGCAATAACTAAAAAAAATTAAAATTAAAACAAGTAAGAGGTTTATATGTATTTTCAAGCCAGTTCAACACATACATGATAAAAATTCCAATTTATGTTCAAGTTTAAATTACAGATTATTTCAAATCTCAAAACACTTTCATAGACATCAATGATTGTTCTGTTGTTCACTGGTTTTAAAGTGTTTTCTGAAGTTATGTATGTTGAGGTTACATGTTAGTTAGTTTCACCATAGAAGATATTTTGCACAGAAGGAAGTGAAATTGACTAGACTAAACCCTAACCCTAAAATTAACTCATTCACTGCCATTGACGTCTATAGCCGTCAATTGCAGTGCATGAGTTAATGGGTTTAACTCATTCACCGCCAATGGCTGGCAGTGAATGAGTTAAAAATCGTCCATAATAGTTGACATCAAACTTTCAACACATTCCTGCTCTGGTCTACCTGCTGTATGTCTATGCCAAGTTTCACTGCTTTCATACTCCCAAGAAGTTAAAGGACAAGTCTGCTCAAATTTCACAACATTCAAGGAATGTGATAACGTCATGTTAAAATGTATTTAGAAATCATTTGTGAGAGGTGACATGAATTTTACAATGGATTCCTCTTCTTTGACACCCACACTATATGTGTGCAGATTTTCATCTCAATCCACTGCATAACTCTGGAGAAATTAAAGGACTTTTCTTGTTCATTTCAACATGCACATTCGATTATAACAATAAATAAAAAAATAATTAAATATCATCTTTGATTGTTGACATGAAATTGTCAAATGAATACTCCTTTCTTTTACCTTCTCTATATGTGTCCCAACTCTTGTCAAAAGATGCTGCAAGATTCCAGAGAAATTAAAGGATCTTTCTATTCAAATTCCACAAGGTTATTTTAATGAACAAAATCTTACAAAAAAAAAAAGATCCTTCTTTGACAGTTGACTTGAAATTCTCCACAAATTCCTCTTCTCTGAAACTAACACTACATGTCTGCAACTTCCGCTTCAACCACTGAAACATTTCTCTTGTGAACTCAAGACAGACAGTAAAGTGGTGCTGAGCACCCCAATACAGGAAGTAGGGATTGGCTGTCTGTTTAAAGAGTCCAAATCTCTGATCCTATCGATCTTACCCAGCAAACAGTGCAAAGCTTTGATGAAACCGATGTGTGAGGGGACTCACCCAGCTGTAACTGCCTCAGAAACCCAAGTTGCCCTGCTGTTGCCCTGCTGTCATCTGTTCTTGTAAAGTATAACCAAACTTTTGAGCGTTTGTGCCACTTAGTCGTTATGTTTCCTGTCGGCTAAATGACGCTATGCAACGTGGCGACGTCATTCAAAGGGACTGGAATCGATAGGGGAATCGTTTGCAAAAATGGCAAACAATTCCAATTAATTGAAACAGTGGGAACCGGTTCTCAACAAGAACCATCCGTACCTAAGGGTCTGTTAGTTTGGCTGGAGTAACCTGTAACATGGATAACAACACTCTGCTGGGTGCTTGGAATATTGTACTCAAAGGATGAAACACTGAAGAACTAGAACATAATTACAGTAAATATATAAAACCAAAGTAAATCATGAACCCACATAACTCAAAACACTTAGTCGGCGACCCAGGAACCATGACAGTTAATTCTAAATAGTATAAATAGCTCTTACATGTTACTCCAGCCCTTTGAAACTAACAGACTGTTAGTGCTGTTTTCCAATGCAGTGCATGGGGGTAAGTAACAGTTAACTTACCCCCATAATTATGACAAGTTGTTGTTTATGTCAAATCTTTTCACATATACCGTAGTTGTAGTTGACACCTAAAATAAATAATATATTCCAATAAACAGTGTTTGAATTACACTGATAGTGTCTGAAAACTGCATTTAAAATAAACTTACATTGTAGATAACTGAGTGCTTTTCCAAAATCTAAATAGATTAAATAAATACAAATGGTAAAAATGATACATCTTCCAAATAGGAATAGGTCACTCCGGATGTTGACCAATAACTATTTACAAACACTGTGTACTAAAATGATTGCTTTCATGTTTAAAAACTGAGGTTTTGTGAGAATATATACAAAAATATAATTAAAATAGTTACAGTTCATCTTTAAAATTTTAATAGTACAAATCTTGAAGACCTCTTCTTTACAATAAAGTCAGATAAGTAACTAAAAGACAGTTAAAACAGTAATAGAATACTGCATAATAGCACCATCTCGTGGGAATAAATAATAATACTGCTTCAGACTGATTTGTTGACCAGATACACCTTTTTCCCCTTTTTTGGACTATCATAAATTGTTTCAATAGGCTTTTGTTTTATGTATATAGTTCAAAGATATGCCACCTCAAAAGATAGCATCAGGTCTCCTTTTAAAGCGTCTTATGAGTCACTACCTGAGGTACTCAGTCACCGCTGGATCATTGAGGAACTTCAGTTAGTGTAACTCCGGGTCTTGTGCTGGTTTGTTGTGCTTCTTGTCATCTTGTGAAGAAACGTACCTGTCTCCTCTTGTGCACAGAAACCAGTGGAGAGCAGCCTGTTGAAGAGAATCACTAGCATCATGGAATCTGGATCATCGAAGCTGTGTATCGAGTTTTGGGATTGTTTGTTGCACATTTTGAAGCTTCTAAATAAATTAATTGTCCATCAAGTCCATCCAAGTCCTGCTTTGCCATATAGCAAACCTCACAGTCTCTTTCAAGTGATTCTCCAAATGGCAGCAAATACAAAGATGGTGACTCACACACCTTTCCCTTGAGATGTCTGGAGTTTTGATCTCCTCCATACCTGCTTCATGCCCTGGAGGACGGGGCTGTGGCCCCCCCCACACCTTCGAGCAGATTATTACATGAAGGAACCTTTTAAAAAAAACAAAAAAACAAGCGCGTCCATGCTCACAGGTGTACACACGGGTGATCACACCCACAAACTACACCCTTTTTGGCTCCTACCTCAAAGCACACTGTGTTCTGTTGATCTTATGTGCTGCACAATAATGTTTAATATTTAGTATTTACTGTCATATTCCCATATATCATTGTGATGTAGTTTACTCTATTACTCTTGTTCTCTTCTGCTTGTTTTCTTTTTTCTTTCTCAGCAGGTGATCCAGGTGATTGATATATGCATTTTTTTTTCTCTGCCCGTTCTGTTGGTTTATGTGTTTTGCCCTTGTCCCCC